GCTTTATACCATGCCATTTCATATGTGAAGTGAGTGTGTCCAAAGTCATTGGGTTGAGGAATCTATTTTACGTCACGAACCCCCTAGGTCGAGTTTTTTTTTATTACTTGACAGCTGGAGGCCGTTGTATACTAAAGGGAGGCAACGGGGGAAGAGCACCCGAGTAGGAGCCCTTCCGAATTCGAAACGTAATGCGGACTCGAACCGTAAGTGAAATCGAGCCGGTTACGTTAAAACTTTGTTTTGAAATATGAGAGAGATCTAGAAAGAAAGAAAGATAGGTAGAGAGAACGTGAGATAAATAGGTAGATAGGTAGATAGATATATAAATTTGCCTCTGGTAAGGGTTTAGAAGACATAAGTTCCGGACTATCCAACTAGATAGCATGTAGTCAGGACGAAGTTGCCGGCATTATGTTAATGAGTTTCATTCAAAAATCGATGCAATTGATAATTTTGGCTTTACAGAATTTTTTTTATGGAGGAAGTAAAATGCACTTGGATGAACGGCAGAGGTATACTTCCTTGTTAGGTGGAGCTGCGGACAAAGGAGTTTCTTTGTCTTTCCCGACCACCTTTCTCACACGGTGAAAGTACAAGTGACAAGGGCCACGGCTGTTCAGGAAGATGAACTATCCGTAATATAATGACGGTGTATATAAAAAGGCAAACTGATAGACAGATAGAGAGAAACTATAGACTTGAACTACTTATTGTCGTTATAAATTAGCACTGATCGTTCTAGGAAACAGTAAATTGAAAAAAAGAAGGAAAATGTATACATGCAACTCATTTATTAAACATGCTGCCTGTACAGTCTACGAATATCCACACATACACTATGCACATTTTCTATTTACGTAATACACAAGTGATTTTTTCTGTTTTTGCGATGACGATGCAGGTAAGGTAAGCGTCGAGAATCATTTCTTCTCGAAGGTGATTCCCTGAGCCCTTTGCTGCTCGGCGATCTCGAGGAGTCTGTAGACGTGGGCGGGGAGGGGAGGGGGACGGGCAGGAGGTCGGAGGAAGGCTGGTAACCGAACTCGTCGGCGACGTAAGTGAACTCAGCGACTCCTCCTTCGGGGAAGGGGAAGCTGTGGAGAAAAAGG